GCTGAGGACTGAGGAGAACAGCGAGGGCGGGTTTTGACCTGGCGGGAATCTTTTTCGAATTTGACATTTCAGAAGGTTTCTCCCGCGTTGGCCGCGACTACATATGGTGGTCTTGTCGGCGAATTTTCCAACTATGGCTTACATAAGCTGCAATATTGTAAAATGCACTTGGATTTTGGCAAGGGCAAGACTCCATATATTTTGGGTTTGTAAGGATTTAGAATATAAAAAATATTTCCCTGTAAAAACAATATTTTAATATTATTTGAATGAGTGCAAAAGGAATACATAATTTTATTTTTTTAATTTGATTTGAAATAAAATAAATGCAATCTAAGATATTATAAAGTTGTGCCCGTGGTGAGCAACGACCAATGTTGGAGGGTGGCAGTGGCAATCAGCGGTGGCGGTCAGTTGGGAAGGTGGTGGACATGGGCAGCATCAATCTACCACCGGCGTCGACGGCGGCTGCTGCAAGAAGAGGCGGTGGCCGAAGGAAGACGAGGGTGGTGGGTGGAGGCTAGCAGCAGGATGGCAGAGTAGTATAAGCGATACTTACTCAAAATTGAACTACAATGAAATACATTGCATTTACTATACCTTTGATTTATTTTTCATCCAACCAAACATCGAACTTTTTCATAACTATGTATTTACTTGTGATATATCATAAAAGATTTTTTTATCAAGCACTTATCTCGAAGCAATTTTAAGTCAGAAACTTCGAAAATTAATTTGGAATCCATCTAAACTCCAAATTTAGTAAACTTATAGTTGAGCTGAAGTTCTCGAAAATACAAACTCATCGACACCAAATTTAACAAAATCTGAGCTCAAATAGGTAAAATTCAAATACCTGAAGTGCGTTTGGAAGGTTCAATATATAATTTGGATTACCATATAGTTTTCAAATGTTACATGTTATATAATTCAAACCCATCATTTTATTAGGGGTGTCAATTCGGATCGACGAGTCGGGTACGGGTCGAACCCAAGCTGACCCGGATCAAAACGAGTCACCTGAACCTGATCCATTTTTGTAAATGTGTCGAACATTTCAACCTGGACCCGACCCGCTCGGGTTTCCGAGTTGACCCGACCCGACCCGAGTGTAGCTGTGCAGGATCGCGAGCGGCAGCGGTGGAGTTCAGTCGCGACTCACAAGCGCGCCTGCAGAGTGGAGCTGGTGAGGGTTGAATTCAGGATCCACCCATTCCGCCGAGGTCACAGGACCGGGACACCGGGTTTGGCTGGATGCCTAGGTCTTGGGACGCCTGGTCAGGCTGGATTCTGGTCGCGGGATGTCGTGATAAGCCGAGGTGCCGAACGCGGGATCTGCTGTTGCGCAGAGTGTTAGACGTGGGATCCGTTGGTCCGGCTGGAGTGCTGGACGCGGGATCAGCGGCTGTGAGGGCTTGCCAGGCTGGACGCACGTGAGTTCGCGGGACCTGACACGAACGCGACCTGAAGAGCTGATGGGACCATCGGGACGCGTCCTGAGTAGCGGATTTACAATACGGGTCAATTCGAATTGACCCGCAGGTTGTTGGGTCGACTTGAACCCAACTCGTTTTTCAAACAGGCCAAAAATCCAAATCCGGACCCAACCCATTTCGCAAACAGGTTGACCCAAACCCAAATTTTTTCGGGTCGGGTCGAGTTTTGGGTCGGGTCAAAAGTTGACACCCCTATCATTTATTTATGAGCGGGGACCCAAACAAGAAGAGAAAAGAAGGAAGCAAGAAAGTAAGAAGATAATGAAGAAAAAGAATAAAAGTAAGAGAACTCTATTGCCACCATACTCATCGACCACCGTTGAACTTCCCCCTAGCAGTAGACTGATGCCGAATTTCTGCTCGATCGCTAGCTGAGGCCAGAGTTTTGCTCGACAGCCGACTAAAACCGGATTTCTTATCGACTATCAATTGAAGCTGGATTTCCACCTGACCACCAAACGTTGTTGGATTTTCGATCTCCATTTGTAATTGAACTTCAACCCGGGAGTTAATTATTGTTATCTGATTGTCCTAAATTTCAAGGATGAGTTAATCATTTGTAATACAAGCAAATACTAGTGAAATCATTTTAACTAGGTGTGGCTCCATGATTTTTCTCTTTTCTAAAGTTTCCGCTTAAAATTTTGCTCTTACATTTTTCTTCAGTTAGTGTGTTGGATATATGTACAATGATGAGACAAAAGTTTTATAACTATATCAACACATATATTTTAGCACACAACAACTTTAATTTAACTTCACATTACTTTCAAACGAACCACCATAATAAATTGAATAAATATTATGAGGATTAAAATATAAAAAAATAAAAATTCTTAATTATTCTGTGTAGACGTCGAACGTTGTCCAGAGACCGACCATAATGAGTCACATCAGTACCGTGATTAATACCACTTGGTATTGCTAGCGTGGCTCATTCTTGTTGCTAAGTTGGTGTCTGAATGTAGAACTGTGTTTGACATTTGCACATAATAATTTCTCCCATTTTTTTAAGTGGGGAGTGCTTCTTTTGGTCAAGCAACTCCGAAGCGAAAGTTGATTAACATGGCAATTAGATCTTAGAAGACATAAAATTTTGTAACGGGCACTCTTTGTTTGGAGGCTAGAGATGAGTGAAAGGGAAAACAAAAGCTATGCTCGAGGTCGCGAGTCTTAAGAGACGAGCAAAGGAGAAAACGAAGCAGACCGTTTGAAACAAAAAAAAAATACTGAAAATTTAATTATCTACTTGGCAATGAAGCCTCCCTTTCCACTTTGCTTGGTGGTGATTGGGTAAAGACTTACATAATTGATTTTTTTTATTATTATTAATGGGGGCACCTACCTCCCCCTTAATTAAGGGGAAAAGGGGATATATATATATATATATAATTTTATGTCATATTATTTACTTATAAAACTTCTAAAACTTTTTTATTTCATGTATGTTACACATAAATAATTTTAATATCGATATATATTATTTTTATATTTTATTGCTCAACTCATAACAGTATATAATTCTATAAATTTCAATATTTTATTTATAAATTATAGATACGAAATATTAAAATTTTGAATATTAGATAGGCAAATAAATTAATATAAAGTATTATTTATGTAAATCCAAAAATTAAAAAAACACCGCATACGTCGCGGCTCCAAAAGTCCCAAAGTTCCTCTTCTTCCGCATTCGCCACACTACCCGGCAGCGCCTTCATGGCTCGCGAAACAACGAAGGTCTCCCTTCGTCTCCCCTCCATATTTCTTCTCCTAACCCTAGCCGTTCTCCTCCTATTCTCATCATCCACCCTTTTCTTCCCTCCCGCCTCCTCCAAGACATCTCCACCGCTCCGCCGCCACTCCAATCATTTCTGCAGCAACCGAGCCGCCGACCTTACACGAGGTTTCTGGACCCACGATTCCCGATACAAAAATCACAGCCGTCCACTCTACGACGCTTCGTGCTCTTTTCATCGCAATGCATGGAACTGTCTCCGCAACGCGAGGAAGAACATGGAGGCGATTAACGCTTGGGTATGGATTCCTGAAGGATGCGGTGGCTTGCCGTTGCCGCGGATCGATCCGGCGGCCTTCCTTGACGCTATGAGGGGGCGGCGCATTGGGTTTGTTGGAGATTCGCTTAATGAGAATTTTGTTGTGGCGTTTCTTTGCGCGCTGGGATCAGCTGATTCAGGTGCGCGGAAGTGGAAAAGAAAAGGGGCGTGGAGGGGCGGCTACTTCCCTAAGTTTGATTTCACTGTGGCTTACCACCGGGCCGTGCTGCTTGCTAAGTACACGTAGGTATTTGTTGTTGAGATATGAGTAATTGGAATAACTTATAAGTATTTGCTATATCCATGTGCATTTCTCTGATAGAATAGCTCAAATTGCTTACTTACACATTCACAACTAATTATATAAAGGTGGCAACCTGTGGAGCAATTGGACCTTCCCAATAAAGATGGTTTGAAAGGATTCTACAAGGTAGATGTTGATATTCCGGCTGATGATTGGGCAAATATAAGCCAGTTCTATGATGTCTTAGTATTCAACACCGGACACTGGTAATAATTTTTCCTTGTATTTCACTAGTTTGTTGCATTGCTTATTTATGAAAGAGTATTTTACATGTTTTGGAGGTCACAAAAGCTATTATATTCATTGTAACATTTATCTATCGTACCTTTTTATGAATAATCTTATGTTGTTTTCCTGGTGTAGCTGGTGGTGCATAATGCGCATCAAGATATTTTGTGCTCTATTGAATGTTGTAAACTTGACAAAGCAAGGGCACAAGTTGCCCATGATCAAAGAACTAAAAAACTATCAAATAAATAACTATTAGATAAAGTTAAATCAAGCCGTAGTTTCATTGAACTTGAACTTTCTCTTCTGATCCTGATTTTCATCCTCCTCAGATATATCCAAATTTGGCATCTATTGATTTCTTTTAAAATCCATTGCTTATTTTTATTCATAGAAATAAATGCTTCCTTTTTAGATGTGTAAATGGTTAAATTACTCATTTGAAATTCTAAAGCTTGTTGACTAAAAGTAAATTCTCCAACTGAATCAATCTTGGTGATGTAGCCCAATCAGATAAAGCAATCATCAAAGCATGATATTCTCATGTTTATTTTTATCATTTTGAGAACTTTGATATGGATGCCGATCTCATCAAACAATATTCTAAATTTTAGCAAAAGTTGGGAGATGATCATGCTACTTTTACTTTAATGATGCAATCTTGTTCTCCAAAAACTGAATTCGTGTCCCATTGGTTATTAAGTCGAAAAATATCCACTCAACAAATAAGTTAAGTTCAGGTTTTTTTCATATTTAATATCTGAAATAATTTTGAGGAACTCTGGATAAATATTTGAACTTCCTAAAGTAGCATCGCACGTTGTATATCTTTGTTACACATATCATTGTGTTTATGTACACATAGAAATCCCAATACTGTTTTAGCTCATGGTAAAACAGTTGTTATGAGCTTACCTCCATTCATTAATTTTGTTAGATAAGACCTGCGTTTATTACAAACAGCTTGCTTCATATGGTTCACTAAAACACAAAATCATATCGGAAATGAGATCCATAGCCGTTATTTCCTTACAGAACTTTATCTTTGTCAGTTCACCTTTGTAATTCATAAGTCAAAGCCCTGCTGATTTACAGACAAGTTTGCACATTAAATTTATCAACTGAGCCTTGTAATGTAATTTTCATAGTGCATGTCTTTGCTATCATATCAAATATTGACTGCTTATTCTTTCTTTTGTTTGTTGGAACACAGGTGGGGGCTTGATAAATTTCCAAAAGAAACACCTCTTGTTTTCTACAAGGGTGGAAAACCGATAGTTCCTCCTCTTGAAATTTTAAATGGACTTGAATTGGTTCTTCGGAGTATGGTATCTTACATCAATAGAGAAATTCCTATTAAGGTTGTAAAAATCTGGCGTACCCAATCACCCAGACATTTTTATGGTGGGGGATGGAATCAAAATGGGAGCTGCTTATTTACTGAACCTCTGAAATTGGAAGAGGTATCTATCCATGACACATTTATTGGCTTGCGGGAGTAAAATAAAAACTGACTGCTGTTATAGCTTGATTCATGGTTTGATCCCAGGAATAAAGGAGTAAACAAAGAAGCACGAGAAGTGAACTTTTGCATCGAACGTGCAATAAAAGGTACAGATATCCAATTGCTCAATCTTACTCATCTAAGTGAGTTCAGATCGGATGCCCATCCTGCAGTTTGGTTAGGGAAGAAGGATGCCGTGACTATATGGGGTCAGGATTGCATGCATTGGTGCCTTCCAGGCTTACCCGATACATGGGTTGATATCCTGGCAGCACAAATCTTGTACAGTTTGGAAGCAGGATGATGAAAGTGGCACAACTCATTTATACACTATGGTAATTTATTCTTCTAATATTTAGCTTGGTTTTTGTTCCTTAAGCAACCTTCATTACCACAGAAGTTTGTGCAGATTGTTCCCCTAAGGAATGCAGATAATTGTCTGCTTGACTCCTTCATCTTTGTCTCAATTGAACAGATTTTTCCTATATTGAAGCTTAGAGTTTGGCAAGAGTTAGATTATTATATTTTCATGGTTATTGATTTAATTTCCAGTTGATAAATATGTGTTTGTAGCTGTTCCCTTGAAACTTGAGAGACTATTAAGAGCTTCAGATTATAAACTACCTTGGGCCTTCTAAGTTCAGAAGAAAGGCTATATGCCCTATCAATGAATGATACTTTCATTATCTGATAGCCTGATCAACTAAATCTCCAACATAATTAATCATACAAAAACTAGTCTCATACATTTCCCGACATGCATTGGATGTGAACCCGGACACACATCCACACGCTCAAGTACACCATCCAACTTGCTGAAAATCTTGTTTGATATATTTTATTCCCCAAAATTTTTATTATGGGATTCATATTGGATTTTTTGGGATTTACTTAGATACCACTTTAAACCTTTATATTTACATATCTAACGCCTAAAATCCTTACAATTAAAAATTATCACTCTATTGCAGTACTTCACCCTCTTTCTTAAAATCCCCATTTTCTCTCCTGGGAATGCAGCAGCTCTCTTCTCTCATGCGGTTTTTTCTTCGTGAGACCTAAAACCAGCTCAAAATTTTATTTTTAAACCAGCTCAACTTGGTGAGCCTTCTCCAGCTTGAACTCTCTCTAATCAAGATCATCCCGGTGTCGTCGCTCCTTTGTCTCACGTACAAAGGCAAACTAAGTGCTTGACCATCAGCAAAATTTTCTCCTTCATACACCATTAAGTTTCTTGCTGGCTTCAACTTTTATGATCATAATTTTGAGTTGTTAAAAATGACATCTAGGACTCTCTAGTATATTCAGACGCTCACCAGGTGCTCGTTATTTGCCCCCTTTGGATGATGCTTTCATCCTATTAACTGTTGCCATTCAGCTGTCTTCCTGAATCTTTTTCCATAAAATTGCCAGCTTGCTTTTGGTGTTGATGTTTGATATACTAAAACTGTGAAGGATATATTATGCTTGATTTAACTTATCCTGATTTTTTTTAGTAGTTGGGTTAAGATACAAAATTGACATTACTTTATTTTCATATAGTATGAGCTATTTACCAAATACAAAATTGAAAATTGCCATTGATTTTTAAACCAGAAGGATATAGCTGAATGAGATGGACCAATTGGCTAATTGGAAGTCCACAATTCAGGAATATAAAAAAAGTAATGAAATATTCAACCAAAAAGAAAACTTTATACCCGTAATAATACAGAAAAATTTTCAATAGTTAAACTTTTGGCTCTCTTTTTCGGCTTATGTCCATTTCCTTGACAGCAACCATGCAATAATACGGCAAGGCTTTATTTATTTATTTATTTATTTTGGTTCAGAGACGAGGAGTTTCAGTATATAGATGTAATGCCTAATTTCACCATTGATCAACAGGTACTAAATCTTAAGAAATGAGTTCAATTTATTCATCTGTATATATGAGCATCCAAGATTGTCAACTTTGTTTACACTATTCACTTTCTATCGAGGTGCGAATCATAGAAGAAAATGTTACAGATATTACAATTTGGATTAGAAGATGATTTCAATTATTTCAAATGGAGAGATGAAGTTGAGCATGTAGCATTTGACATGAACTGTGCGTGAAGACCTTCCTTCTTTTGAGGACAGTTTAGATTAAAATCATGATAGCAATCCTAATTGCAATTATAGCCATGGTATTGATTTTCTTTAAGGCTTTTTTTAATTAGAATTATTGTTTGAAAATCTTCCTAGAAAGATGTTTGTTTGTAATCTTTAATGTACTTTGAATTATGTGTTCTTAGAAGATCTTACTAATGTGCAATGAAAGATGATTAATGCAGTTCTTGTGTTATGTCTTATTGTGGAATTGTTGTACTTTTGAGTTAATACGATGACATTTGTGAATGCTGTAAATTGAAGTTCATTTGTTAAGTTTAGACTTCAGAGCATCATGAAGTCTGCTCGACATCAGGCATTACTGGACTTTCAAGTGCTCCCATGATGACACAAAGTTCAAAATGATTTCATTTGTGAATGCTTTTTTATTTTTAAGTTTCTCTAAAAAAAAATTTTATCCTCTTTTTGCTTTCCCGCCCTCTTGGCATTAGTATATTTCTGGATCTTGCACTTTCATGTCATTCTATGACTTCGTTTGCTATGACTTTCTTAATACTTTTAAAACAGTTTTTAAGTACAAATATTTTAATATTTTACTAACAATTTGTTTTAAGAAGTAATAATTAAAAAGCCGTCCCAAATAAAGCCATAGGGACGACTTTTTTACTGCTTCTTAAAGCACCTTTTTAGTTAAAAAATTAAATTTTTTCTACTAAATAATTGTTTTAAGCAGCATTAAAAATGGATTTCTTACTGCTTCTTAAAATAGTTTTCAAGTATAAAAATTTTAAATTTTTAATTAAAAAACTGTTTTAAAAAGCAATAATTAAGAAAGTCGTCCCAAATGAAGACTATATCTACAACGGAGTAGTCACTTTTGTATCATTTATGTTGCTAAGACAAGATAAATATGGACTTGGAGATTGATAATAAATAATTTAGTTACTTAATCTTTTTGTTTAATGTATGTATTTGCAGCAGATTATAGTAAACTCAGAAGCTATCATTACAATGACAAACTTCATAATTTGCATTGCAAAATGCATTCTTATTATCCTCACCCTGATCCCTCTCTCTCTCTCTCTATCATGGATCATGAAAAAATTATTAAGCATGAAATAACAAATTCTATGTTTTAAGCAATTATATAAGGCAAAACTAGTCATAATCTATCTTAAACTCAGAAGTTAAAGCAAACACTGTACAAAAAAGCATATAACACGTAAAATTTCATAAATTTTATTTATAATACTTTTTAATACAAGGTATATACAATAGGCGTTGATTAAATTTGTGACATTAAGAAAATAATATTGTCTTTGGATTAATGAGTAAGAGATCCTTTCGCAAGTGAGCTTTAACTTGATCCATTGTTTCTTTAGAAATATATCTCCAACTTTCACACATTTTATATTATTTATTCATATTTTAAAATATGAAGATTTGAAGCAAATTTTAATTAATTTGATATAATTTTGAATAAAATTAAATAGGAAAAGTATGATGAGTTTTGTTAAATTTCAAATATTTAAAGAAAATGATATAGAATATATGAAATTATGAGATGTTTTACTTATAAAAATATATTTGTCTAATAAGTTGAAAAGCCTTTTAGTGCTTAATTTTGATGTTTTTATAATAATTTAAATATTAGAAGTAATAAGAAATTAATTTTATAAATAATAAAAAATTGAGTATTTGTATTTAAGTAATTGCCCAAAAAAAATCATTAGTTATACAATAAAGTTTCCACCCTCTTTCGTTTCTCAGCTCGTTCATTGCAATGCGATTACGATTCCTCCATAGAGGAGTTGTAGTCCAAAACTATGCCATTTTTCCCAGCGCTGCGGCTTTTGGATTCAAATCCACTCCCTCGCTTTCTTCAATCGATATTCCAAATCCTGAAAACACAGTCGAAGGATCTGAAAGCTCGGAAGGTCCCAGCGACTCCTTGTCTATGAGAGTCGAGAGGCTTCCATGGGGCGAGCCGATCATCTCCGCCTTCCAGAGTTGGATGGGAGACGGATTCGCCGTTCACCGAGGAGAAGTTTTCCACGCTATCAACCGGCTTAGGAAGCTGCGCATGAACAAGAGAGCGCTCCACGTTAGTTGCCCACCATCTGTTCGATAGATTGTCTCAAATTCAATATATATATAAAGTTTTTGTTTTGGTGTCGCCTTTTTGGATTTTGAGGATTGAAATAAATCACCTTGGCTGTAGAAAGTGTAAAGTTGGAATCTTGCTGCCTGCTTTCGCTCGATTGCTTTGTTTTTCCGAGATCAAGAATCAATTTATTGATATGCATTCGTTCGTTCATTAACCCATTGATTTTTTCCATTCACTGCAACACTGAAATTTAGCTTAGGACTTATGTTCTAGTGCATCTATTTGCGCGTTGATACTGGTAACTAGGAAAATAGGGGCCGAGGGTTTGTTTTCATTTCATTATTCTGATAGTTTGCTATATTTGCTATCATCAAATTGTCATTATGGAAGTTTAGTTTTCAGATAAATCAGCCTGCTTTTAAATTTCACTTTTTTTACAGTTGATGGAATGGATTATGAGGGAGAGGCCTTACAAGTTGAAAGAGCTGGATTATGCTTATCTTTTGGAGTTCACTGCTAAGCTTCATGGAATTTCTGAAGCTGAGAGCCTGTTCCTTCGTATCCCCGATGAGTTTCAGAATGAGTTGCTCTACAACAACCTGGTAATGGCCTGCTTGGATAAGGGCCTGATAAGGCTTTCTCTTGGTTATATGCAAAAGATGAGGCAATTATCTCTCCCCATTTCTCCTTATGCTTACAATAGATTGATTATTCTGCACTCCACATCTAGTCGTAGAAAAAGAATCCCTAAATTTCTTAGACTGATGAAAGCTGATGGAATTTCACCACATACATCTACTTACAATATTCTCTTGAAGATAGAAGCTGATGACCACAACATTGATAGGCTTTCAAAGGTTTTTAATGAAATGATACAAGCCAAAGTTGATCCAAATGAGATTACATATGGAATCATGGCAATGGCTCATGCAGTAGCAAGATTGTATACCGTCGCAGAGATGTATGTAGAAACCATTGAGAAGATAAGAACTGGTAAGAACTGGTCCACATTGGATATCTTGCTCATCTTGTATGGTTATCTGAAGAAAGAACATGAGTTAGAGAGGACCTGGAAACTTGTAGGAGCCCTTCCACACGTAAGATCCAAAAGCTTTTTACTTGTGATTGAGGCCTTTGGAAAAATGAAATGTGTAAAAAGGGCAGAAGAGATATGGGAAGAGATGAAGTCAATGAAGCCATTGAAACAGACTAGTCCATACAATGCAATTATCTCTGTATACTGCAGGCATGGACTTATAGACAAAGCTTCAGATTTATATGAAGAAATGCAAGCAAATGGATGCAAACCAAATGCGATAACCTATCGCCACCTTGCATTAGGTTGCTTAAAAGCTGGCTTGGTTAAGGAGGCTTTGAAGACTCTAGAACTGGGGAAAGATGAAGAAGTGAGCTCTCAGGTGAGAAGATCCACGCCATGGCTTGAGACAACCCTTATGCTAGTTGAAGCTTTTGCTGATATTGGTGATCTAACGAATGCCAAGAATTTCTTTAGAGTATTTAAGGAGACAAAGTATTGTAGATATACTTTTGTGTATAATAGCCTTCTAAAGGCTTATGTGAAGGCTAAGGCTTATGATCCAGAATTTTTGGGAAATATGATACTAGCAGGAGCTAGGCCAGATGCAGAGACTTATAGCCTCTTGAGAATTTTGGAGGAATTTAAGGTTTGATGCTTTTGCTGTATTCCCATATAACAATTATCCTACATTAGAGTTGCAATTTGTGATTTAGCAGCATGTCTTAGTTCCTAAAAGCTCTTTAAAAAATGCTCCTGGAGCTTTGTGGCGTTCTTGATGAGATTTTGTTGATTAATAAACCCCACTGTTGACTTTGGAGTTGCATAAAAATTTGTCTGGAAGATCTTATGGGGAATTGAGGTTACAAGAATCTTTATTTACTTCTGTCAAATCAAAAAACAATTTGTTGTTTATGTTTACTTAAGAAAAATAGAGCTTAAATGAGTCTGAAACATCATGAAAATACCACCAAAAGTCCAACTCATCCGTAGAAGATTTAAGATTTTGTTTACGATAACTTTCTTGTTGTTTTCTAAATCAAGTTTTTAACATTAAAAAATTTTTTAACTAAAAATTTTTATACTAGAAAGCTCTTTAAAAAATAGTAAGAAAGTTATCCCAAACAAAATCTATATCAATCAACATCAAAATTTCATGATTCAAGGTCCATAGATTCAAACATATCAAACACAATGGAATTTGCTTGGACTGACCTTCTCTTTCATCAGAGAAATTATTACGTGCGGAAATCAGACTTAAGAAATCTTCGAAAGGTATTTATTATTCATCATGTACTTTATTAGTTCACTGTTATCTTTTTTTTGTCACAAAATCGAACGATTTTGTGTCCAATACTTCGCACGATAATAATATCTCCTTTAGTCATTGTAGGGTTTGAGTGTGCCCTTTGAAAAGTATCATGCTCGTCCTGACTATTAAAAATTTACATGCATTGTACTTATGGTATTGAAATCTAAAAGACCAATGTATTTTGTAAACCAATTTGAGACATCATTGATGGCAAATGCCATGAATCCACACCGACAGCTTTTTTTTAGTCCACAGTCCAGACAGTCCTGGTGGGTTGATGGTCAGGAGATCACTTGACTTGCTAAAAAATGTATGTGGAAGATGAGCTAAGAAAACTTAGAAGATCTTATGAAGTTGCTCTGCTAATTAATGGATGGTGACTTAATGAGATAAACTGAAGAAATTCAAGAGCAACCAGTCAACACTCTATCTAATGGTAAGTACTAATTAAAAGATTTTGAATTTAATTTTTGAGTATGTGTTGTGTATATGAATTTATTTAATTGACTTAAATACTCAAAAATAATATGATAGTTTATAATACTTTTCTACATTCACAAATAGTTGCCATCATTTAATTGGAAAGGTTACCAAATTATCTAACTCTTGTGCGAGCTCATTTGACAAGCACAGGGATGTGGTGAGCAAAATTTGCATATCTGAATACTAAAATGTTAATAATCATTCCTACCCTCATTGTAAAATTTTAATATCAAATATATCACTCATATATTTCATTCTTACCATCCCATAAACTTCAATATTTCATATTTGATCTATGGATGATAAGCATGTAATATTAAAATTTTAAATGTTAGATATATAATAACATAATGAAATAAAATGGTATATATGTAAATCCCTGATTACTGTTCAAAAGAACAATGCAGCATGTTCAACAATATCTCATTCCAGTGATCAAAAGCCATAGACATCACTGATACAAATACAAATTCGATGTTTGTCACATTTAATTAACAAGAGTAGTTGTCTCAACTGATAAATGAACTGCAAAATAGATAATAATCACCAACCACTAAAACAAAATTTACTGAGAATGTTTATAAAGATGAAACATGAAAGCTAAAGTTAACACACTCTTAAACATCTCTTCTGAACTGAATAAGCTTTTAACGGCATAATATTTACTGGTCATCGGTGATGCTTCCCTTCTCACTCACATAGATTCCATCAAGAATTTCGGATGTCTTTGTTCTTCACATGGCATTTTGTTATCATTTCAATAAAAACGAATGTTTCACTTTATATGCTAGTTTCTAATAAAAAATTCTAAGTAAAAGAATTTTTAAAATGTTAAAAAATTTCCAAAGAAGCCTAAAAAAGTGTACTGACTGATTAATTAAGGCGCAGAGCGTGAGAGAGCTCAATATATTTCCATCAAGGATTAGCTCATCCTTATTTCTCTACCTGAGAATAGTTACCCCTTCAAGCATGTCCACTGAACCTGGAATGAGGGATCAAATAATTGTTAACACAAGATATGTATGTTCCTAATTAACATTGTGCGGAATCCAATAGGATATCATCCTCGCAAGTATATCCCAAAATTTTAAGCATTCTTCATGAGAAATGCCTTTTTTTTCAACTATCCTTATTGTTGCATTTCTTATCATTAATTGCATGTGGAAACCACCGAGTTTATTTTCAGTCATCTTCAATAACCATTTGAGTGATTATCATTTCTATTCAACAACACATCCAACTTAGCAAACCCATCGTAACATTATTGTTTTGATTATCATCAATCTGACTATCAATGAATACTTAACAGCCCAACACAAACATCTATAAAATTTCCATTTAAATCTAAATTAACATTCTAGTACAAATGTGAAACCTCTTAATCCACCTTGTAAATCTCAATAAAATAGCATTCAATTCATCCAACTTTAACTGGTCCAATCCTTTTATCTTTCTATATTTTATTGATTATTATAGCTTGCCCCTATTTGAGATGCATCACTAATTAAAATTGTTATTTGTAAAAAAAACATACAATAAATATCTCATTTTGAATACTATTTTGCACGAATCTATATAAAAAATGCAAAAAAAAGGAAAATAATTGGTCAATGAATTGTGGGTTCGTAGGAAGCTGCTAGACTTCCATGTTCTGAAGCCAAGACCAAGCTCAAGGCATCCAAACCTAATGAGCAATGGTGGAATCACAAGTAGTTTATTTAGATTCTCCTGAATAGAAAATAACAGCAATATTCACTTGCACAACATGTTGACGTTTATGATCCAATTGAAGGGGAAAATGAAGTAAAACTAAGTAGGCAAATATAATCCTTCAATACGGGAGGAAAAAAAAAATTCTATAACCCTTCATAGCAGTAAAATGAAAGATTGTAGACTTCATAGTAGCGGGTTGTATGCGAAAAAATGAATTCGATGACCAATATGACATTTGTTTAGATAATGCTTCAACATTGATTTGCTTGTTCATTTTTATGATCGTAAACATGCTCCTTTGTTATTTAATAAGTAGCTCTTTAAAAATAAGATATAAGACTCGATTAATGATGCCTTCAAAGTTTTTATGACTTCGTATATTTTATTGTATCAAATTTATTATAATTTATATATTTTAAAAATTATGTATGCTACTAGATTTATATATTTAAACATTTTCTTATTATTTTTAAACTTCATCAAACTTAAATAACACCGGACAAATTATAATAAGTTTTTTATTCAAATTCTATAGATTCAATTATGTCTAGTAATAAGGGTATATGATTAAAGTATTAGTATCAAACATATAATTATTTAGGCTTCATTAAATCCTGATTTTATTTCAAACTCAATAAAAATAAAAATAAACAACCTTTAACAATATTTAAGACTCAGATCATGTTCAAGCTTGGCTCGAGCTCAATAAAGAAGTAAATGAACTTGAACGGTGCAATAGCAAGCTCGACTCAATTCATTTATAGCACTAGACGTAGCAAGGAAGGAAAGCATTATTGAACATTCGAAGATGGATGCATATAAGTAGAAATATGCACAAAAGAAAGGAGAGGGGTCGCATGAATAGATAAATTAAATGTAAAACTAAAAAAAATAAATTATATTTTTAATACAAGTCTAAATAAAATATAAAGTTAAAAGTTCACTTCCTCAATATCAACATTCCATGCATTTAATATTTCTAAATTCTAACTATAATTGATGCAACCTATATTCTTAAACCAAGTAGGAGAAGACTAGGAATGCAAAATGAGATAATTCCTATCAATATCACATAAACAAACGCCAAAATGATGGATGCTTAGTAGAAAACTAATATAGGAAATTTGTTAGGAAGTCGCATATGAAAGAACAATTAACAAAATACAAACTACAAACCCTAAGAACAATCACGAATGGTCACCTCACATGCAAACGCAAAATAAGAAAGGTGCTCAAAGGAAAGGACAAGCCACCTAACCACCACAAAAATTATGATCCAACACAAGATTTTGCTCCTCCGGCAAACACCAACAGAACAGTGCACATCACCACTCACTACTTTAGATGGTTTAGAGAATAAAGATACAAATGAAAGGAAAATTGTGGAGAGAGGAAGTAGAAAGAAAACCGAGACAAATCAAGTAATAGGGGATAAGGAGAAGATAGCTTGACTTACTACTCAAAACAATTTAGAGAAGAAATATACATGTGAAAGGAAAATTGTGGAGAGAAGCAGAAAGAAGACCTAGACGAAGTAAAAAGGGATAGGGAGAAGACCAGCTCACAAGCTAAGAAACCCTCAGATCTTTTTAAATAGTTTAGAGAAGAAAGATACAGGTGAAATTAAAAACGTGGAGAGAAGAAGTTGAAAGAAGATAGAGATGAAGTAATAGGGGATAGGGAGAAGACCAGGTCGCAAGCTAAGGGACCCTCAGGTATTTTTAAATAGTTTAGAGAAGAAAGATACAGTTGGAAGGAAAACCATGGAGAGAAGAAGTAGAAAGAATACCAAGACGAAGAAATAAGGGATAGGGAGAAGAGCAGCTTGCAAGCTAAGAAATCCTCAAGTTTTTAGATTGATCACAATCCAAAACTCTTTTTTTGCACAAAGGAATTCAACCCCAATTTATAGGAGAAAGAAGGGGAAATAACATTGAATAGATCACATAAATGTGCCACCAAAACAAAACATCATAACCACCAAATTCAGCCCACATTAACACTTCCTGCATAGGAATCAACAAACAGAAAATGAGCAACCCATAGGGAAAACCGAGAAGACAACAGGGAAAACAAGAAGCCATCGGGTAAAACGAACTGTCAACAGGAAATCCAAACAACTAGAGGGAATCCAAGTAGACATCATGGAAAACAAAAAGAAAGC